CCTGGAGACCCTGGACAGGCCTCTCTTTCTAGGATATCCTCCCTCTGTGCTCTCTCCAGGATACCCTCTCTCTAGGAGACCCTCTCTCTAGGACACCCTCTCTCTATGCTCTCCCTGGGATGCCCTCTCTGTGCTCTCTCTAGAACACCGTCTCTCTATGGTCTCCCTGGGATTCCCTCTCTGTGCTTTCTCTAGGATACCCTCTCTCTACACTCTCTCTAGGAGACCCTCTCTCTAGTATCGTCTCTCTCTGTGCTCTCTCTCTAGGATACCCTCTCTCTACGCTCTCCCTAGGATACCCTCTCTCTAGGACACCCTCTCTCTATGCTCTCCCTGGGATGCCCTCTCTGTGCTCTCTCTAGGACACCCTCTCTCTATGCTCTCCCTGGGATGCCCTCTCTGTGCTCTCTCTAGGACACCCTCTCTCTATGGTCTCCCTGGGATTCCCTCTCTATGCTCTCTCTAGGATACCTCTCTCTATGCTCTCCCTAGGATGCCCTCTCTCTAGAAGACCCTCTCTCTAGTATCTTCTCTCTCTGTGCTCTCTCTAGGAGACTCTCTCTAGGATACCTTTTCTCTGTGCTCTCTCTAGGATACCCGCGACTTCTGAGTTCTCCCCTCAAATCCTTCACAGAAGCCCATTTGTGCAGCCAAAATATGCCTTTCTTTCTCGCTGCTCTGGAGGCTCATGAGTCCTAGGTGGATTTCCTCACAGTCCTAAGAACCTGGTGTTCCTATTTATCACTCAGTTCCTTGAAGTTTTCTTTTTAATCAAAGAGTTTTAGATGACGTAGACCGTGCACAGAATGGAATTTACATGAATATGGTTACCGCATCCAATGTTACTTTTTTAAGTCATGGAAGGACCACCTCTCCTATCAGGACTCATCAATAAGTCATGCTCGCACTTCCTCACACTGAATTTTGTTCTTCTGGATTTCCTTCCACCACTTTTTTTTCTCTAATACCACATGTACCTTAAATGCAGACTCCTCAGCTTGCCTTCTCCCTTCATATGGTTACTTTAGCAAGTTAACTGTCACATGATCATAGCTGGATCCTCTCTTTCAGTATCTCATTTTACTACTGCAAGAAGCAACAAGATAGAATGCAAAGGGCACTTGTCGGGAACATCAGAAGTCCTGTTCCCAGGTCATTACCTTTGTGCTCTTTGGGGGGTCACCTAACCTCTCTCAGAATTCTAAGCTACATGCATGTTAAAGTCCACTCTATCAAATGTGTTGTTTATAACATTCTATTCATTTCAAAAAGTTCTTCTGCAATTGCATTATTATTACAAATACTCAGACAAATAATTGAACCTATCAGTCAACACTAGGTCCTGGGGCCCACAATTTCAGACACATTGGGGGCTGTCTACTGGGACTTGCACAGCATACATAAAACTGTGAAGCAGCAAAAAATAATGGTCACATATACAAGGTAGGATCAGAACAGCTGGATTTTAGGTCAAAGGAAGTAAAGTATGTGACTGAAGATAACATATAGTGAAAGATCCAAGTTAGCCAACAGAATTTAGGACATTTCCACATGAGAAGAGGCTTTTCTTGAAATCTTTTATGAAAAGGGATATTCTCACAGATTAGTGAGACTCCTGAGCGCAAGAAGGTGGACAAGGACACGGTGCATTTGTGGGGTCTCCTCCAACTATGATTTTGTGACATGTGATTTTGTGTGCATGCGTTCATGTGTGTGTATAAGTGTGTGTACACACACATACAGAGTATGCCACTGGAAACTTACCGCTGCTCAATATTTGAGCAAAAATGTATCATGGCACATTGGAAGCATGAAGAATTATTTTCTGTCTTCTCTTACTCATAGCATGACTAATCAGTGCTTTTCAATTTAAGTCTTTTGAAATGGAGAATGGATGTATTAAAATAAATTTGAACTTTTACCTATTTTAAGGGGAAAAAACCCTTAATTTGGTTCTCTAAGAAAGGGCTTAGTTTGCTTATTAAATTTAGTGTAATAATAAAAATTTAGTGTAATAATACACTAAATTTAAACCAAACTAGCCTCATCTTTTTCTACTTCCCTTACTAGGCTTAACTCTGAGCATGAGGTAAAAGAGGGTCTAGCCAGTGCTGATTCCATTTGTACTGAGGAGTCTCGGTCTCATCTGATTGGGTTCAGAAGCAAAAGATGAATTCAATTCATTCAGATTAAAAGATGCATTGTTTCTAAACACCTCTGGGCTGACAATGCTACATTTAAAAATAAATTTTAACATCTCCAAAGAGAAAGAGAAATGGTCTTCTAGAAGTCAACTGTCCCTTTTTAGGGACATTTTTTAGCAAATCAGAAAAAATAGCAATCTCTAATTAATAGGTGAAATCATTTGGTTTTATATCTTTTCCTAAATTTTTTTTCAGTAATTTGTGGTTATCCTTTTCCACCCACCACCTACATACCTGGCTCCCAACTCCGAGGTAGATAAAGGGACTGCAGCATCCCTCCGTTAGCTTGCTAAGAAGTGAGGGATAGTCTATGGCAGTAACCAAATAATTTCTAAAGAGTGTTGGAGATAAGCGTCAGACTACATTAAATCCAAACCCTCAGATTAATGCCTCACAATCTAAGGGTGTGAGGACCCACTGAGAAGGGGCTTCCCATAAGAAAAAGTGCCTGGTGATTTGGAGAAGTCACTGGGTCAGTGCGGTGCAATGACTCCAACATAAAAACCAGACCAAACCAATAATCCTCTCTCTCTCTAAAAAATTATTTTTTTTTTTAAAAAGGAAACATACTTCTCTTTCCTGATCTCCCTACAAATTTTTACCAGTCTGGGCATGGGGCTATCCCCAAAGTTTCATTAGCAGCAAGAAAATAAAAAATGAAATAATTGGAGAACTCATCAAGAGCTCTGCAGTCTAAGCACACAGAATAGTTTTAATGCCTTTTAAAAATGTAGATATAATAGAGGAATAAGAAATAGTCTTCAGGAATTTTTATTTTAGTGTTTTATTTACCTCTCTGTGTTTTGAGCAGTTTAGCATTTTAGGATTTTATCCATGGTCCCCTAAAGGTATAATATATATTTCTAGAGGTGAGATCTCCATCCTCCATCACATTTTGCTTCTCTTATCCTAGTCCGGCTGATGACCCTCCTGTCTTCGTTGTACTTCACAGGGTGGGCTCTGTGAATTTGTCACAGTCAAGAAGCTGCCATCTGAGGATGGAGGAACAGGGACTTCCCAACTGTCTGTGCTGAGGACAGCTGCTTCTGGAGGCCCCACCTGCTCTCTGCAGCCACAGCTGCCTCTGGTCTTCAGTTTTACACCGATTCAAGCCTTCCACAATGGAAGCAGGGTCAAGGATGGGGATGTCCAATGATCAAAAGGGATAAAATCAAACCAAGAGCTCATACGTCCTCCAAAACCCACACCCTCATTAACCATTTCCGCCCTCCCGGCAGGCTGATGCATCAGGCAAAATAAGGGCAAGTTGTACAGGAACCAGGGAATTTCTTTCACACAATACAGATCGGGCTTTCAGCTCCCAGTCCTCGGGTTCAGACCTAGGAATAGCAATTTTCTCTTTTCATACTTAATACCTGTGTCCCACGGTCGGAAATGTTACCTGAGTCTAGTTCAAGACTGTAGGCCCAGCACACATTTATTTCATACCTAGTGAGGGAGCAGAACTGTAATAAAAGGAAACCCAGTTAGTTATAGGATGTTAATCTAGGGTGAAAATATTTCTTTATTGAGCAAATATTCTGTAGAAATTTTTTAAAGGAAGAGGGCATGGTGTGTCTATCCTGCACCTGTCAAGCTTTACTGCGCATTAACACTTACATAGTCTCACATTTGTAGATTTCCACATTTGCAAAATCTTAATACTAATACTAATAAGATGGTCCTTTTTTTTTAATTAAAAAATGGGCTTTGGGAAAATGACCGAAAAGTGGAATTCACACTAAATACAGATCCAAAGTTGTTCTCATGCCTGTCTGAGTGTTTGATGATGGGATTCTGTCACACATGTCCCCACAGAGGTTCTTTGCTTTTCTGCAAAGAAGGCTCCACTCTTTGCTCCAATCCTAGCAAATGAGATCTAAGGACAACCCTAAAATAAGTAGGAGAAACCAGCTTGTACTGTTGATTTACCAAGCTTGAACAAACTGCTTTGCAAATCTATTGGTGTCTCCCAGGATCTATTTTAATGATCTGCCTGAGGTGAACCGAGCAGTGATTTAAAGACGAGAACCCTCCAGATCTCCTAAGAAGGGAATTACGATATCGCAGTGAGGGGCGAAGCCGGGCTTGCTGATTCACCTTTACTCCCCCAGCACTCCCAGCCTCTGCAGCTGGAGGGCTCTTCAAGGTGGGGTGAGCAGCTGCCCTCGGCCATGTGGGACACCCAGGCCGACCTTCGCCATCCTCGCCTTGGCTTTAAACCTGCTGCTGCTCAGCTGAGCCCTACCTGGTCCTCACTGCACCCGCCTCAGCTTCCCCAGCAGGGAGTTTGCACTGTGTGCCCAGGATCAGCAACGTCTACCCACTCACGCCTCCAAAAAAGACGAGGCAAAAGGAGGAAGACGGACGCGAGGTATCCAGGAAAAGTCCTTTAGACATAACCCATCTTCTTTTGACTTATCTTAGAACCAAAGCAAAGTCCCGGAGGAGGGTCAGAATGAGCTGAGTTTTGCCCCCCCCCCCCCAAATTACGAAATAGTTGAGAACCTTCACAACTAACACACGTGAAATCAGGCAGCTCTGAAGGAGAGGCCTTTGTCTAGGGGTGCTTCACATCAAGTTTGCCTTGCCAGGTGCTCCTTGTGGCTATGCATTATTGATAAAGCCAAGGCATCCTTTAAAATAGAACTGCAGGCAGAGGAGGCAGGCAGACCCCAGCACCCCCTCCCAGCCTGGTGGCTCAGAGGGCTACAGTCAATTCGAGAAATACACAGTCCCTCTCTCTCTGTCTCTCTCTCACACACACACACACAAGGACGCCGACAGCAGCGTTACCTGCTCGTGCTGCTGCACGGATTTCCCTGAAGCGCTCGCCTCCTTAGCAGTAGTCATGGTCTGTCCAGGGGCTCCCCACCACGGGGGCAGGTGGGATCTGACGGTGAGTTTGGCGCCACCACAGTGCAAAGGACGCCCGAGTGCAAAGCGCCAGGTAAGGGAGAGCGCGGTTCTAGCCCAGACTTCCCAGATCGCGAGGCTATTTGGAGAGGGTGGGGGAGGGAGGCTGGGCAGACCAGCCTAGTTTGCTCTTCACACGCCAAGAGCAGGGCAGGATCAGAAGAGGCAAGATGCTGCAGCTTAGTGGGGCTTCTCCAATTAGCAACAGCCTCTGCAATCGCCACAGAAACAACGATAACTGCTTAGCAACCGGCAACTGGCGGCCGGGCGCAGGAAGGGGACCCGGCGCTGCACGCTGCGCCCGCCGCCTCCCGACAGGGGGCAGGGGCTGGGGACAGGGGGCAGGTGCTGGAGCTGAGGCTGGGGGTAGGGGCAGCGGGCAGGGGGCTGGGGCTGGAAGCAGGGCCGAGCTGGCCGCGGGAGCCGCGTCGCTGCCCTGCCGACGTGCCCCGGGGCCTGAACCCACAGCTCCACAACTCGACCTGCGAGGGGCACAGTGGCCAAGCGAGGGATGCCCTTCGCTTTTCCTGCTGCAAAGTGCCTGGTACATTTGAGAAGGAGGGCGGTCTGTGGGCACCACTGGACGGCACATTTGCTGTTTGCCCAGTGGGTTTTCGGAAAGGCTGATTGTTGAAATCATGGCCTTCATTTTTCTTAAAATTCAGAAAACTTATATTTCATCTTGAGTCAAAGAATCTATATTTCTCTTTGAAAATCAACCAGGACTTCAAGGGTGTCTGCCCCTTAGAAGCAAGCAAGGAAAAAAAAAAAAAATCTCTAGTCTGTGCAATGACTTTATAGGAACATAAGGGCTCCCTGCTGCGTCCTGAGCTCAAGGAGAAAGCGGGATAGAAGGTGACGGTCCTGCCCTCCCTGCCTGAGGCCAGAGCTCTGGGACTTGTCCTGACCACGGGCACTGCCTCTGCCCTGCTTCCTACCTAGCAGAGTGCACGCCGTCCGTGGGTAGAGGAGAGGGAAACGTGCTGAGCTCTAAAGAAAGCGGGTCCACCAAGAGTTGCAGCAGCAAATACCTTGCGACCCTCCAGAAACTCGGACAGAATTCAGCGCCCAGAGGCATTCTCCTGCCCCTCTGTGTCCCCTGAGTGGGTGTGACCTGCCCTCTGTTCATACTTCTCCAACTCCTGGTCTTGAACTTCTATTTGCACCCAGATGGCTCCTGGTGACAGGCGTTCACTGACTGGGGAGAGCTGAGCCATGTGTACACGGACCTGCTCTCAGTGATGAAGTGGGCCGCTTGGCTCTATGGAGCCCAGTGCAGTGCCTTACAGAGAAGAGGCAACCTGGGTGTGTTTGCATTTGAAAGGTATCCAAGAGAAGACTTCTAGTTCAGCTCCATGCCAGCATCCAACCCCCAGTCATTTCATAAAAGCAGACAAACTAACAAAATCCAAGACAAGCATGTCCTTTGGAGCTGACAGATAAATTCAAATAATGGCAGAGTTGGCTGATCACTTCTACCAGCCTGAACCTAATTCTCATCTATGCATTTGGCACAGATTCCAAGAGGTCAGGATGGACAGCTGGTGGCTTGCACGGTTTGGCCAAAAATATAGAAAAGAAAACCCTGTGTGAAGTCCTTGCCGCGCAGTAAGGGTTTGTGTTTTGCTCTGTTTGCATTGGTTTAGATTTCCAGGCAGGACTGTACATTTCAGGCGTGGAGAGAGCAGTGGTGTACACTCCTGTCTTGTTCGTTTACTGGGATGTATGAACCTGTTATTATCGGTGTTGGCAGAAGGGAGGGTGCCGAGCCCAGAGAGGGTTGGCAAACATCAGCACGTCCTCCTATCCTATGGTTACAGACTCTTAAGTGAAAGGCGCCTGGCCTCACCTTGGTCACTTCACTAGGCCAGGAAGCCACTGTGGTGTGAGGTTGCTAAGCAAACCTGTCCCTAGAGCCCCAGCAGCAAAGGATACAGGCTCAGAAAGAAGGGCCAGGCGGCGAGTTGAGCAGTTACAGTCCCCTCGCACACCTGACACACAGCGGGCCCCTGGAGACCCACAGATGAAATCAGCAGCCCGCGCCTCACAACAGACCTCCACGATGTCAGTCTCAGAATTGCTCTGCCCTCCAGAGATTTCTCTTAAACTTAAAACCCCTGGTGTGGATCAAATCTTGAGCCACCATCTGTTAACATTTCAGAAAGGTTTCGTTGCTAACCCGCTAAGGCCATGGACAGTACCCAGCACTGATCTCCAAGGACAGGAACGACAGCAGAAGCGTGGAAGGTGAAGATTTGAAAGGAGCTGAGAACCGTGTCCTTCACTGTTTCCAGAGCCCCTCCTGGGCCTCACGGGAGGAGGCAGCACCCCAGAGTTCTCAGCCATGGGGTACGGGAACCCCTCTGGTTGCTTCCCGTTTTACTTCTCAAGAAAGAGCTTAAAACATCATTTTATATCCAAAACAAATATGGATATAAGCCAAGTGTGTGGACATCTGTGAAATTATGCATGATAGTTCAAAGGAATGTCCTGCTGGCACCAGGACACTTGGATGTCGGCCCGGCCAGCAACCCCTCCCCCTCCCCCATTCATCAACTCTGTCATCCGGAGCCATCAAGTGGAAAAGCTTGAGAAGGTCAGGCCAGGTCGTGCCACTCAGAACCTTTCCGTGGAATTTTCTGCACCAAGGCCCCAGCTGCCAATGTCTCTGTGTACTTGACTTTGGCCGCTTTTAAAAGCAAAAGGGCAGGACATCCTGCCCCATGCGACACGTGGATGAGCCTGGAGGACGTTGTGCTAGGTGAGACAAGCTGGGCACAGGGGACCGTACTGCCTGATGTCACTTCCATGAGGCATCTAAAATGGTCAAGTCACAGAAGCAAAGAAGAGAATCGTGGTGGCCCAGGGATGTGGGGGTGGAGGGGACACGGGAAGTTGCTAATGGACAGACACAGTGCCTCAGTCACGCAAGGTGAGGAAGTTCTGGAGACCCGCTGTGCGACGCTGCGCCTGTAGGTAACAACGCTGTACTGTGCACTTACATCTGTTAAGAACGTTATCTCGTATTAAGTGTCCTCACAATGAGAAAAAGAGAAAGGGCTTTTAGTTATATTTTAAAATTATTCAATATCCCTCCAGAGGACAGACATTGTACTTAAGTTTATCCTCTCGAGCTAAATGTGTGTGTGCGTGTGTCACTACAAATACAGACAGATCCGTTCCTTACTGGAGATCAGAACTATAGTCTCCCAGGCTCTGTCAGCAATATCATCTGGAACACCTTTGTCAGAGAAAAAGGTTAACAACTGGCAAATAGAGGACATTAGGACATGTTGGTCCTCCAAGGTTGTGCAGTTAAAAAAAAAAAGCATCTATAGATAAATTTCTGGAAAGCAGCATATATAAATATTATGGTTTTCCATAACTATAGACCACAGGGAATACAGCAAAGAAGAGTTTAGGGTGAATCTAGGAGGACAGGAGTGAGGCAAAAAGGAGCAGGGTAGCTGTCCTCTGCTCTGCTTTCATAGGGTCCGGTGCAGAGATGTACGTGACGAATATTGAATTGACAGCACACAGACACAGTGAGGAAGACAGTAAATGCTTACCTGCCTTCAGCTACAGTAACAGTGAGAATGGCACCTGCTACTGGGCCAAGTGCTACACCTGCAGTACCTGACCTCACACCCCAGCCCATCTAGGAGGGAGGCACTGCTGCTTCCCCCAAGAACTTGATAGGAAACCCAAGGTCAAAGTAAGTCAGCAAACCAGAACTCGAACCTCAGCAGTCCAGTCCCTAAGCCACCATATTACACTGCCTTGGAAGACCTAAATAGTAGAACATTAAAAATATTGACCTAGTCTATGCTCCAGGAATGCCCCTGAGCTTTGTATACATATTGTCTGATAATCCTTAAAAATCTCTTAGGTACTTACTGGATCCGTCTACCAAGGCTGCCACAACAAAGCCCTACAAACTGGCTCACCTAAGCAACAGAACTTTATTTTCTCACAACTCTGGAGGCTAGATCTGAAGTCAGGTGTTGGTTTCTCCTGAGGCCTCTCTCCTTGGCATATAGATGGGGGTCTCCTCATGCAGCCGTCCCTCTGTGCCTGTGTGTCCTCATCTCTTCTCATGAGGACGCCAGTCATATTAGATTAGGGCCCATCTTAATGAACTCGTTTTAATTTGATTTACCTGTTTAAAGATCTCATCTCCTAATGCAATAATATCCTGAGGAGCTGGGGGTTAGGACTTCAACACATGAATCTTTGGAGGACACAAAAATGCATCACACTTATTACTAGCCCCACTTCACTTAGGAGGATATGGAGGCTTGGAATGAATAAGAAATTATTGCAAAGTCATGTTGTTGGTAGTGTGCAGCAAAGCTGACATTCAGATCTAGTTGTCTGATCAAAACCGTTTGTGAGCGCACGCGCACACACACCCATCATCCTGTGTCTCTTCAAACACTTCCAAAGTTCTTGGGCAGGAGATACATCTCCAAATTCTCCAAACACAAGCAAGGCTCCCCAAGTCAAGTCTGACCACTCTGCCCCCTGCTAAGCAATAGGCAGCTCCAAGGGTCTTGCTGAGACCTGGACTCCAGGTAAGTCCCTTCCTTTGGGTCTAGGAAGAGTCCAATTTGATGGAGCACAAGTACTTTCTGAGCAGCAGCTGATCTTGTGTTGATCTCAGCCCTTCCCAAGTGAGATTCTTGTGTCCCCAAGTGAAGCACTTCCATTCTGCAGCTGAGCACATTTGGGGCAGCTGAGAAACACAGTTTGCAAGGACCATGCCAGACCCTGGTTCTTGGCCAACATGGCTCTTCTCTGAGCTCACTGGGCATAGGTACCTGGAGCCTGGCAGAGCATGGGGCAGGTCTCTGCCAACAAGACACACCCCAGCTGCCAGTCTTGCCAAACCATTCACCTCCCTTTCCCACTGGCACCTTTGTCCAATTCTGCTGGAAATTTCTTGACACTGCAATCAGCCTTAGGGAATGGATTGAGCCACACTCCCTGGATAGAAGCTTTCTCACTTGGACAAACCCATTCACTCTCTCCCCTCCAGGTGTGTGTGACTAGGGTGCTGGCACAGGCAAGGCTAATTAAGCCTGTTTGCAGATGTGGGTGCTTGCATCCCTCTACGGGGAGGTGCAGTTTCTCACCCCTCTCATTTGCACCCACCTTGCCTGGAGTAGCCAATCAGCTGCAACAGCTTTGCTTCAAGGATCATTTAATCAGCAAGTATTTACCAAGTGCCTACTATGGGCAGACAGCAAAACCCTATGAGAAGTAGGCTTGCCCAC